GCTGGGGCAGTTTTTTTGGTTGGGGCAGCAGTTTTATTCGGTTCACCTGGTGGTGGGAGGTTCCGCGGGCTCGCGTCATTGTTGCTCTCTCTCTCTCTCTCTCTCTCTCTCTCCTCTGTATTGTCATTATTGTCATCAGTTGGCGAAAAAGAATTATCTTTTTTATCAGAACTTTCTGGTGAATTATTTTCATTGTTTGAGGAGGGGGATTTATTACTGTCATTAATCGGTGACTGGTAATCGCTATTATTGTCTTTTTGTTGTTTTTGTCCCACACACTCTTTACACCAACCCTCGCAACCAGTAGGTCAAGTTGAAGGTTGCTCCCGTCGCAATTGACATTTTTTACATTCGGGGATGTTTTCTTGCCGAGCCTGTTCTTCTTTTACCTGGTATTTTTTAGCCAAGGAAACTAAGAAATTTCTCTCCTTTTGACAAATATTAATTAAATCTTTTCAGGAGTAGACTTCTCCATATATTTGCTCCCATTGCTCTTTTTCAGCCGATTCTAGTAAACTATGAGCCTCAATGGCCGAGCCACATTTAGCCCGAAATTGAAAAGGTTGCATCTGCTCTCTCAATAATTCTTTCCGTAATTCATTCATTCTAACTTCCTTAATGACCTCATAAAAAGGAGCAAAAATTTTTTTGATTTCTCTAATTGTCTCATCATCAAATTCGTCCATACCTTGCAGTACATCTTGCTTGGCTTCGGTTTCTGATTTGGCTTCTTTTTTTCATTGTTCTTTTTCGGCTTCATTTTTACATTCAAGCGAACAAACTTCTTCTCCAAAATTAGTTTTGAAATTCTTTGGGGGGGTCTTGATATTGGCTTTTTAATTGGGAATATTCGCAAACTCGACAACCATGTTCCGGACAATATTCGCTGTAAAATTGTTTGCCGTTTTTTAGAGTGATAGAATTTTTTATTTCCTTTTGGCAAACTTTATTTCAAAGTAAACCTTTTTCGACAACAAAGGGACATGTTCTAGCCATAATATTAATTATATTGTAATTTGGTGGATCCTGAAGGACTTGAACCTCCAACCACCCGGTTATGAGCCGGATGCTCTAACCAGTTGAGCTAAGGATCCTTCTATAAATATTTTTTTAAATCTGCTCGGCTAACCTTCCGCAATTCACCAGCCGGTATTTTGCTGGTTATTAAATTGCCAATACTTCATAATTTTTGACAAAAACGCCAACTACCAATAATTTTACTTTCTTCGTAAATTAGATCAGAACCCCAAATATTATTTTCCAGCAAAAAAAGTCGTAAACTATCACAGCCGTATTTTTCAATAAGTTCGTCGGGTTCAACTCCATTTCCCAAAGATTTTGACATTTTTTTTCCATGTTTGTCTCGAATTAAGCCATGTAATAATATCTGTTTAAAAGGTACTCGGCCGGTGAAATAAGTTCCCAGCAGTATCATTTTTAACACTCAAAAAAAAAGAATGTCATAGCCGGTTATGAGGGTGGTTATAGGATAGCAATTTGGTGGTGGAGAAGGAAATTTTTTTCCCTCTTTGGCAAGGGCAATTAACGGCCATAAACCACTGGAAAACCAAGTATCTAAAACATCTTTTTCAGGTTCTCATTCTCGTAAAGCACAAAAATACTCGTGTCCGCACACAATCATAGTAGGAATAGACTCTTTTTTTCTTTCTGCACACCACGAACATTTATCAAGTTTCTCACCCACATAAATATCACCCGACTTTTTGTGATATCAAGCCGGAATCTGGTGCCCTCACCATAATTGTCGAGAAATACACCATTCCCTAGTTTTGTTTTTTCACTCCTCTATTTTTTTTTGAAACTGATTGGGCAAAAAGTCTATCTCTTTCAGAAAATTAGGATTGTTTTGTTCTATTTTTTTAATTAAGTTTGGTAAATCAAGAAATCATTGGCGTGAAAGCAAAGGTTCAATGACTACTCCTGATTTAGTAGAACAAGCGAGATTAGTTTCATATTCTTCAATTTTTACGCAAATGCCTTTTTTTTCTAATTCTTTGACAAACTCTTCGCGAATACTGCCAATTTCTTGCCCTTGCCAAGAGCCGGCTAATTCATTCAAAATGCCTTTTTCATCGCAACAACTAATTATTGACAAATGGCGTTTTTTTCCCAACTCGTAATCAGTAAAATCATGAGCGGGCGTGCATTTTAGAACTCCTGTGCCAAAATCGGTTTTAATACTTTCATCAGCCAAAATGGGGATAATTTTTTCCGTGAATGGGTGTTTTACGGACTGGTTGAGATATTTTTGATAGCGGTGGTCGTTAGGATTAACAAATAGAGCCACGTCAGCAAAAATGGTTTCGGGTCGACTGGTGGCTACTAATAAGTATTCATTGTTTTTTTGGAGTGGATATTTTAAATGATATAATTTACTTTTGCTAGGTTTATGTTCTACTTCAATGTCGGAAATTACAC